AAAATGAAATGTTGAAATGGGAAACTTGGCAGAAGGTTAATGAAGATGTTTTTTTGCAGATAATGCAGTAGGCGAAGCATTTTGACAACGAATGCAAAAACATGATTGAGAGAGTAATCCTTAAAGTGAAAGTAAAAGCGCACGAAAATCCTTTTATTGAACTCAACTGGTTAGAGGAGAAGGATGAGAGTGGCTTTTAGTAGGACAGAAAAACATCATATTTTTTTAGCAAAAATGTTGAATTTACTTAAATTTATTGGGAGCTGAAATTATAATCTGGTTAATCATACTTGATATAAATTTCATTTCATGAGTTTCGTTTTATCTTTGCTTTATTATTATTTTTTTTTCTTAGATGTGAGTAAATTATGATGTTCACATTGAATCTCATGATCAATAAATAACTGATGGACAAAACTTAACAATAATATAGTGTGTTGATACAAAGAATAGTTGGAGAATGCCATCCACATCTAGGACGCAATTTTTAAGTCTAGTTGCTCAATGAATGATACACAAAGTGGAATTTATTAGTAGGATAATAAAAAATACAAAATACGTATACCTACTGTCCCAAAGGAAGCAATCACTTTTCAAAGGTGCAATAGAACCTAAGGAGGGTGTAAATCATTGGCTTCTAAGGGTAGATAAATCTTTCATGGCGTAAAATATCTTGAGTACTTATAATGTCATTATTGTGCTTTTTATTTAGATGAGAGACTAAGTGTTAGTGGTTGGGCTAGACCAGTAAATTTGTAAGGGAGATTGAACTCTATGATATTATATATAAAGTTTAATAACTTCATTTAAAATTGGTTGTTCACCCCAATTAGTTGGACAAACTTTGCATGCGCACTCTATCCGGGTGGTGCAGAAAGAAAAAATAATATTACAATATGAGGTCAAATATTTAAAACTATGCATTTTTTACAGAAAATTAGCAAAATATTTTAATATTTTATTTTTATAATACATATCATTAATCTAAATATTTTCCATCAAATTATATATATATATATATATATATATATATGCCTTAAGCCCTAAAAACATACCATCCTAGCAAGTATGTTTAGAAGAAAAAAGCATGCCAATGAAAAATTATCTTAAAAATGTGCATCTAAAATATAGCACTAAGATTAAAGATAATGTTGAACTTAGACGCAATATGGAGCGATGATAATTATAGATTTATAGGAAATACATACCATAAAAAAAGATGATAAAAGAGACAAATTATTAAAAGAGACAAATGAGAAATATTAAAGAAATGAAAGACACCTTCGTCTCCCAACCTTCGTCTCCCAAAAATATGAAACCGAGAGAAAATGAGGACAAAATATCACGTCAGAAAATTTCTTAAAATTTTTGGCAGATTATAAATATTTTTTTATTCATTGATAATAAAAACTTTTTAGCAATCTTTTTTTGCAAGAATATCATTTTAAAACAAACAAACCAGCAAAAATTCATTAGAAAGTGAATACCTTTAGATATAGTATAAATTTAAAATTAGATTTTTTTTGAAAATTTTCTAAAAAGAATTCACCGATAAAATTCATTAGTATTCTGCTATTTTCTGTAGTAGACATCTTTCCCCTCAAAATCTCCTTTAACCTGTGTCGATGCTCAACCTCCATCAGCTTCATATGTGCTCATCTTTGACTCTTTCAAGATTTATGATAAAAGAAACAATTTGGCTCCACACAATCTTTTTATATATGCTCATCCTAGCAAGCTTGTACATAACCAACTCTATGTTGACAGTGTATTCACTACACTATAATGGGAACTAACTCTTAAAAATCTATTATTTTGGACTCCTCACAAATTGTGTTCAGAGCTCCATATCTAATCTAATCTAATAGCTAGGTAGATTCCCCTTTTGCAAGAGCCCTCATAACTTGATGCAACCTCTTTCAATCATGTATATTTCTCCTTAAATTATAAGATAATGAATATATTTAATAGATAATATACTAAATATAATGAATGAAAAAAATATTGAACTTGCTTAAATTATGTGTGCCATTAAATATCTTCATTCACCCATGAAGCTCCACTACTCCATCAATGGGTATGGGCATGCCGATCAAATAAAGTTGGTTCCTTGTCAATTGGATTATATTGGAGCCATAATATAAGAATATTCTAATATATGCATCGTATATGAAGCTTTGCTTGAAGAATTTAGAGATTATAAAAACATAATTACTTTGAAAACTCATTTCTTATATAAAATTAAATTGACTTAGCTGGTGTGTAAGTTAAAAGTGTGCATTATTTGGTCAAACTAAAAAAACCAAACTGATTTGAGTTTTTCTGGTTGATTCGGTCCAAGTTTGAAAAAATAGTATAGTTTTCGGCTTTAAATATTTTAATATCCAATTTTTAGTTTTTGAATCGGAGTTGTTTTTCATTAAACCAAATAAACAAAAAAATGGAATAGTACTAAGACTAAGAAATTAAATTCACTTGCAAAAACATAAATTGATTACATAAATTGCTTATTTTATGTTTGCTTCAAATTCTTAATTTCGAAAATACAGTGGGAAGATAAGAAAGAGACAAGAACTTTCTTATTTTGAATTATAACATTAATTTGTAATAATTTTAGATTCAATAATAAATTTCATTCTACTCAAAACTGAATTACAATTCGATTCAGCTTGAATCTGTTTCATTAAGAGTTTTGTAGGCTTGATTTTTTATATTTTAAATTTTGGTTTCACTCGGTTTGCGTAATTAGTGCACCGATCAATCTAAACTGACCGATTTCATATCGGAATTTTTGACAAACTTTTACAAATATTAAACATAGAAATTAATGTTAGTAATTAAAAAATTTGTTGTAATAATAAATTAATCACAAAAGAATTGCATTTCTATAGTGTGAAATCTAAAAATTATTTCAAATTTTATATTTGATATAATAAAAAAAATTTTGGCGGCCTACCAACAATCTTCATTCACTAACTTAAAGATTCATAAATGAGAGGCAACTAAGTAAAATTTCAAATTTTGGATCTCTCTCAAAAATCATACCTTTCGAAGCCTTCCTTTCAATATTCTACCTGCTCTTTTTGGACAAGACAGCCATTGGACCACTTCAATCCCCTTTCAAACTCCGGCTATTTCACATATTCCCTTCCCCTTACCATTCCACAACATTTCACTGCCAAAGGTAGACCTTAAACACCTTTTAGGAAGTGTAGAGCGGTGTCATCAAGTATCGCAGTAGATGCGTTGATAGTACATTGCATGCAATTTGGAGATATATTGAGAAGGTCTAGTAGGATTGGAGGAATGTGGAGATGTTAATTAGGCAGATAATGTTGATTCCTTAAAGATATTAGTATGATAAGTATAATTAAATTCGTGACAATTTTGATGAAATTTATATTTGTTTGAGCTACTTGTGACAACTAAAGGTTAAGAAAAAAAAACAGAGTAAGTTCTTTGCAGAGTTGCTTGTAGGATAGCCCCAATTCGATTTGAATGAAAAGTACCGATTTGATCAAATGCATCTACTACTTTTCTTTTGGCCTTGCATTTACTTTATGATAATCTAATATATATAGCTATTATACTTAGATCTTTGCCCGATTATATCTTTTTGGAAGAATTGGTAGACATGGTTTTAGAATAGAACATGCATGCATGAAACTCAAGGTATTAACATAAAATAGCAATGATGATTACGTATGTGAGATGAGTGGGATCACTTCCACATTACTATTGTTTATGTGGTCAACTTTAGACAAAAAATATCAGATTTAAAGAACGATGCTAATGAATATTGCTATAGGTTACTGGAGCAACATGGAAAACTCATTTGGAATGTTGTCAATTTCCTCAAAATAAACAAACTTTTAAATTACACCAAGATCCAGACGGTGATATCCTGCAACACTTCATAGCCTCATGGACCATAATTTCCTTTTCTCAGGTTCTTCACTCTTTCTCTACTGTTGATTCAATCAATGTATGCATCTATGCATTTATATAAATGAATCTATATACATGCGAATACTTACACATATGAATTAAGAAATTATCTTATGAGATTAAAAATCAATAGAGTTCAAATCAATATTTAGCTCGAAACAAAGCTAACAAGCCATAATTAATTCAAACCAAGATCAGATTGAGCTAGGCATAACCAGACATAGCTCATCTTAAGATTAGATTGAAAGATTTAGAGCAAAACTTGAGTTGGGATCAGATTGTAAAAAGTCATATTCGATTTTACAACAATACTTACGAAGCAGCAAAGTCAAGATAATGTTAATTCAAATTCCAGAGCTCAAAGTAGAGATAACGATGGGAAGAAGATAAATTTTGATATGCCCCGAAATCTCCACTTTATTCCTGCTTAATCATCATCCATCTTATTTCCTTTTAATATGGTTCAATTAAGCATAATTTCACAGGTCTAAGCAAGAAAGATCAATAACTTTAAGATTCCTGGTCCTTTCCATTATCCTCCTTTACCCAATTACAAGGATAGCATAAGAAGATCAATAACATGTCCGACTCTAAAATAACTATAAAAATTTAAAACAACCTGATCAAAACTGTCAAAAACATACATTAGACGAATGTGCTTTTGGCAAACCCTAATCGTCGACATAATTGCCATCACCAAAAATGCAAGCCATGAAAAATTTAAAATACAAATCTCAACACCAAAACCAAATGCAAAATTCTGAAAATTAAGCAAAATCCATATAATCTCAATCAAACTGAATTTCCGGCACCATCTAAAATCTAAACGAACATCTCAAACATGATGCCGAAGCCCAAAACGCATCAATCTAGCTTTATCAATGTTTGTAAAAAGAATCAGACATATTTGCCCCATTCACAAATTAAAGAAAAAAATCAAATCCCGCAGAAAAGGGAGAAAATTATTCATCGCAATAATTAATCCAGGAAAAAAAGGAAATCTAGCAACATACAATAATAAAAAAAAAATCAATCGAGCTCTCTGAACTCACCGACATTTCCAGTTCTTCTCGAGCTGAAGTTTACGATACTGAGTTCCAGACAGGAAGATTTTGCCGATCGAGCACCGCAGGTCGGTGAGAAAAATGGCAGATCTGGAAGAGAGCGCGTTTCAGCAAATTTAATTCTACCTTTTTGTTTATCGATGAGTTGGATATTTCCTTTCCTGTATATTTTTAAGGAGGTGGCCGATTTTTAAGGGGCCCCGAGGGAAAGCTTCTCCAAAGGATATCGGTAGGAAATAGGTTTTTTACATGTCATTCTCATTCTTACATGTCATTCTCGTTTTGAGGAGTGCATTTTTTACATCATTCTTACATGTCATTCTGACATAGTTTTACGTGTCACAGAGGGTATTCTTAAATTATTTTCAGATTATTTATGTATTATTTTTAATAATCCCGAAATACACAGAAATAACCCGCCGAAATAACTCAGCTAAATTATTTCGAGATTATTGAAAATAACCTGAAAATAACTCAGGAATAGTCTCCACGGCATGTAGAACTACGTCGGGAGTCTGTACAGAAAAATTAGGTCAGTTTAATAGAGAAAGCACGTAGAGTTATGTGCTGAGTTTAATGAAATCACGTTATGGCGATGACAGAAAAAAAGATATGTTCGGTAATATAAGAGAATATTTCTCCCATGTTATTCAAGTATTATTGTATGTTATTCAGGTGTTATTGTGTTATTCAAATGTTATTAATGTATTATTGTGTTATTATAATACACAATAATACATTAATAACATTTGAATAACACAATAACACCTGAATAACATACAATAACACCTAAATAACACCGAATAACACGTGGGAAATATTCTCTTGTGTTACCGGATTGATTTTTTTTCTATCACCCTACGCGCCGTGATTTTATTGGACTCCGCACGCAACTCTACGTGCGGAGTACTGATGCAATATTTTTTCCATAGAGTGAAAATTAATAATAATAAAATGATTTAAAAATAATTATTAATTTTATTACAATTTAATAATTTGAGTTATATATATATTTTTTACGGTTATTATTATTTATTATAAGAAAAAATTAATATAAAAAGTAGCTCTTTTGCTTCATTTTGAATTATATATATAATCAAGAAAAATTTACATACCTAGCCCATTATTTTTATTTATTTATATATCACATATCTAAACTTTCATATTCATATATATTGCACTTCGGTGTTTTAAATATATGCACGAAAATGTGTATTTTTCTTTCTAGAAGTAGTAATAGTACTATTTTTTATGCGATCATAAAAATTTGAGTGCAATGTGTGTAAACATGAAAGTTTGGCTATGAGATATAAATACCAAATCAAAATAGTTAATCAAATTGTCTTAGGTTGCTAGTTGAGATATTAAGTTTTAACCAATAGATTCAAAGTTCAAGCTTTTGTATATTCAGTGTGTGTGTGTGTTTGTGATTAAATTCGATCAAATATAGTATAAAAAAAGTTAAATTTGATTTGAGAAAAGTGTTATACCGTCTTCTAATTTCTAACATGGGTTATTTTAGTTCTAGATTTTATAAAAATATCAATTATGTCTTTGATATTTTTACATGCATGCCGCAAAATTATTATATACTGATATTGTTGAGATATATAATAAAACAAAAGAACGATCTTTGATGAAAGCGAAAAACGAACAAGGAAATTCACACCAGAAAAAAACAGTAACATAGCGGATCACACGGATTTATGTGATTCGACAAATTGTCTACGTCCACGGAGTTGTAGAGGATTTTACTAATTGAGAAATTTACACCTATCGGTCATCTTGACTTACAAGAAGAATCTCTCACTTTGTTGCTCTATTTTTTTCTCTCTCTGTTCTTCTCTCTCTACACCGAGATATACCGAAGAAACTCTACACCGAAGAAGATAAACTTACAAGAGGAATAAACCCAATATCTCTTATGTCACAAGCTACCAAGAAGAAACCAAGAGAGAACAATATTCTTTTTCTTTCTTCTTCCTTCACCGCAAGGAACAACACCTTACACTTCTCTTCCTCTATCCCATGGAGCAAAAACTATTGAAGAAAACAAAAGGTTGTGCTACACTGAATGAGGGTCATGTGATACCTCTTATTGCGAACAGGTAGGCACGCGATTAGCGAAACGGCAGAGGCGGGAACAGTTCCTCTGTAGCGAACGACGCCAGGCGAGAGATGCATCTTTTGCGATTAAGCGCGGGAGCTGGAAGTGAGAGTGGGAGATCAGGAGGTGGGATCGGGATCGGGCTCCAGCACAACAGACATATCTAACATTTAAATTTCATATTATGTATATTATACTGAAAGTTTTAACATCACATCAAAAATAATATTATCACTAGTTTCTTAAAAGCGAAATATAAATTTTTATACATAGAGTTTTTATGACAAGTTGTCATAAATATAAAAATTTTGGTATTAGAACTCAAAATGCATAAAAATTATTTGATATTCATGTAAAACTCCCTTTATTTAAATAATTTCAGAAGTTGCACTGTCATTTTTATTGTACTATGATTTGTTCTTACCAAGAGGTATCAAATTAGGTTTGTTGGGGTTTAAATTGACCCAAAATCGTTTGACTCAAATACTAAGCTAACAACAAAAGTCTAAACACAAATCCGACCCTCCTTCAACCCTATTAACCTAAACTCCAATCACATAACTTATTTAATATAAGCATAACAATTATTCTGGTTATATTTGAGCAAAGTTCGATTAACTTCAGGTCAAATTTGGATTAACAGGTTAACCCAAATCCGATCCAAAAAAAATAAACATTCTGAGATTTCTGACCCATATCTGACTAAAGAATTAATTGGTTCAAGTCGAGTTCAAATCAAGTTGATTTATCGGGACAATTTTTTACACCTCTACTTTTACCTAGAAGTGGGAATTCAAGCTTTTTGGCTTCTCCTTCTTGTTTTCAATAGCTCATTAAACTTTGAGTTTGGATTCATTATTGTTCGTTAATTTAAGTTGGGTGGCAACTTGGATTATGAAGGCGACGATTAACGTTTAACTTTGAAATGCTTCAACCTTTGATTTTTCTTTTTAAATCAAAGAATATGTCACTAATGAGACTTCGGAGCTGCTAGGTTGTTATTGCTTATATGTTTATAATTTGAACCAAAAAAAAAAGTTCAATAATTGTATATTTTAAAAGAAAAGTGGTTTTCAAAAAGTATATGAAATGTGATGTTCACAATATTTTTTAATTATTTAGGCTTTATTTGATGTAATATTGTTATTATTTATTGATTAAACAAATCTTAATGCAATACTTAAATTAACAAAATCATCTAAACTCTTGTCTCAACAAATTTATAAATAAGATGAAAACATCAACACAAAGTGCCTTAATCCAGGTCTAAATCATTATAATTCAAACACTAAATATTGTTAGAAACTTTATGGCATGATTTGAGGGTTCAAATGATTTTAAAATCTCATATAATTGCAATCAAACGATAAACTCAATAATAGGAATCCAGCAATTCTAAATTTGCTCAATTTTAATGTTTTTTAAAGCACTTCAAGGTTTAAGAAATAGACTATGATGAATGGAATTAAAATGAACAACTCAAAAGAAATTTTGGATTATATAAATAGGCCACATTCTTCAAATGAAGATGGGGCTGCACTTAGATTTGAACTTTGAGTTAGGTAGAGTTCTACCAATAGTTAGTGACAACAATCAGCAAAGTCACTTGACTATAGCCACCTGACTGTTATCACTCTTTCACATGCATCCAACTATTGTTGATAGATCATTATCACATAACCATCTTCACTTGAGCATTATTGCCCAATCATAGTCATTTGACCAACACCACCCAATTACTATCTTTTGATCAATATCATATCACTACTAAATGATATGTCTTTTATTGCAAAAAGGTTGGTATGTTTCATTAGTAATAAGCCCAATATGTTTAAAATTTCTTTCTTCATGCGAGGAGATATTGCACATCCCACTCGTTTGACTAGCTCGCCAACTGAACAACCTTCTTTGACAGCTAGGCTCTGGAAAACTGAACTGACTCAGGTGATAGGAGCAGGCTTCTTCCTTTCCCCACCATGTCTATGAGGTGTCGGTAAAGTAGTGGCGATCTTTCGGATACTTTCGTACCCATTAGTATCCATTAAGGGATGGAACCAACTCCCTTGCAAAAGTAGATAGGTTTCCGGAAATGCTGACTCATCATGGTGAGGATGTCATCAACAGGTACCTCCTTAGAAATCTGGGCTTTAGTAGCCCTCCGAACCTTCCTGTTGCGATTTCTCCTTTGGGTTCGGGTTAACGGTGCGGTCCTCGAACTTAACCCGATTTCAAACACTGATGGCGGGACACTAAAAATTAACAGAGGTTAGGTTGATCTGGGGTGAGCTATTTGGCCAATACCTCGTAATCTTAGTGCGGGCACTAAAAATTAACAGAGGTCGATCTGTGGACTCAATAAGTCTTTATTTAATTTGTGGAGATTTTAAAATTCAATAAAAATAGTTTGAAAGTAGAAAGATTTAACTAATATAAGGAAAATTAAAGAGCATGCACAGTACGACACAATCTGATTTAATTTGTAAAATAGCAAATCAAACTCGAAAGGGAAAAAGTGCAGTTCAGGACCCAGCGCGGGCGCGGGACCAACTGAACAACACACAATGTCCAGGTGGAACTAGTCCACCAACACAACTATTGAGAGTTCGACCCCACACAAAGATTCAAAAGTCCTTAATGGCCTCCTGAACCCCTCTGTTCAAAGGTGGTTGAACAAATGGTCCTGAAGTCCAAAAGAGCTGACCGTACTCACCCAATAAATAAATGGGTAAAACATGCCAACGGAAGAAAGGTAATTTGGTCCAAGAGGAACATGGACACATTACTGATATATGAAGATAATATTTCCTGATTTAAATGGAGAGAGTATCTGTTACTCCCATCAGAGTCGCCAAGAGCTGTCGGCACAATTTTGGGTTGGGGAGTTGCCCTTTGAAAGCTGTCAGCCACCAGAATCGAAATCCCATCGCTCGCTTCAGAAATGCGGTTAATTTACATATTCGGAAGGACGTTTTAATTTACATATATATTATATATATAAGTTTTAGAAAAATATGAAAACAAACCGACCCAATATTTTTCACAGTTTAAATGAAAGAAC